TCCTCTTCCTCCTCCTCCTCTTCCTTTCCTTTGGCGTCGTCATGCCTGAGGGGAGCGGGAGGTGGAGGAGCTGTGCCGGGGGATAGGGCAGGTGTTGTCCTTTGGGATGCGCAGGGGTTGGGGCTGTGCCCGCCAGTATCGCCTGGGAGGGTCTCAGAACTCTGTTTTTTTCCAGTGGTTGCTCTGGGGGTAATGAGAATAGATAAATCGTCATATAGATAACTTATCATGTAGACAACTCATCATATAGGTAACTGATAGTTACGAGTAATCTGTAACTCGTGTTAGGCTTGGCACACGAGCTCCAGTTTCTAGCCTTGGAAGTTATAATGTTCTAAATAGGAATGCGTTTTGTACTGCCAGCGTTTTCTGCTGGTTTTGGCTTCTGAAGAGTGATAGCTTTCTTTCAAGTTGAGAGCATTTCATGGTGGGGGTTTCCTATTCATTCATTCAGAGATTTAAACTCTCTTCTGTGCATGTGCTGTGTGCTGGGCTTGCTTCTCTTTCAGGCAGCTCTCTCTGGGTATTTCAGTCTCTCAGGCAAACAAAATCCTGGTTTGCACTAGGAGAGGGGTAATTATGTGTTGTGCAAGGAGGTGTATTCACACAGGAGGTTGAGTTTTGTTATGTTGCAGTCTATGAGTGTCTTTTTCACCTTCTGTGATGGCTATTAGCAAGCGCACGTCGAGTATGTTTAAATCAGAAAATGAAGCTGGACAAATGTACTTTCCTGCCTGCAGAACAACATAATAGAATCCTAGAATTTTAGGGGTTGGAATGGACCTTACAGATCATCTAAGTCACAACCCCCCCTACATGGGCAGGGACACCTCCTCACTGGACCATCATTACTGCCTGAGGTACTCAGTGTATCGTCTTGTCAGAGTTTGAACAGAGCACCTTGAATTTTGTTTTATGAAAGCTTTTGATGCATACCTGCATAATTGATAACAAAAGGAGGTGGCATGTGGTGGGAATAACTTGCACAATCATGGCATACTGGAAAGGCTGCAGAGCTTAGCATGTGGGATAGAACTCCACTGCTTCCTCATGTTTGGGTTTATTCATCTTTATTGCATGAAGACAGATTTTTGTATCCAAAAACACATGGTACAATATGCTATGAGTCTACATATCTTTGTATGCAAGTAGTAAATCCGTGTTATAAGGTCAAGCAGTTAGAAGTAAAAAAGTACATAGCAGAGGGTGCATACACATACCAAAGAAACCCCAAAACCAGATAAAAAATTTGGTTATGATTACAGTCTGTAGTCTTACATTTGCCATCTGGGGTCAGATTCTGTGCCATGTACTTACACACACAGTTTAAATCCTGCACTGAAAACAGTCTTTTATGATCATGGACTTGTTTGCTTCCTGTTGTGGTGGTTAGTGTACTTCATAGTGGCATTGAATGGAAGGGAGGCAACATTCTGACTTCAGAAATAGAGAACTGAGATGCAAATGTCAACATAATTTTATCTTAGAGTCATAGAATGGTTTGGGTTGCAAGGGACCTTAAAGATCATCTAGTTCCAACCCCCCTGCCATGGGCAGGGACACCTTCCACTAGACCAGGTTGCTCAGAGCTCCATCCAACCTGGCCAGTTCCAGGAATGGGACATCCACTGCTCTGGGCAACCTGTTCCAGTGCATGATCCACCCTTACAGAAAAGAATTTTTTTCCTAATACTAATCTAAACCTACTCCCTTTCAGTCTGAAGCCATTCTCCCTTGTTCAGTCACCGTATACTCTTCTAAATAGTCTATTTTATTAGATGTCATTAGAAAATTATCAGATGTATTTCTTTAATTTTAGGTATTAAGGCTCAAGTAATTCCCAGCATAAACTGTGAAACATTCTGAGTGATTACCAACTCTAGTGGCAAATATTCAGTGCTCCTGAAGTTGCTCATTGTGTTCTGCACTTAAGGAATGTAACGCCTGTTCCTCTGTGAACATTGGGATTTGAATGGATTGCCTAAGGGGAGGCTTCTGTACAACAGTCAGCTTTGTAAACAGGAAACCCTCCTGTCTCTTCCTGCAGTCATCTTCCTTACTGGGAGCAGCATTTGTAGGCTAAATGGCAATTGAGGTAGAATTATTTCAGAAAACACCTTTGTTCACTGCTGATGTATAATTAGTGCACACTGGAAAAGGTTAGGGACCTAGTAGCATCATATGGTCAGCTGTGCATATCCAACTACAGTAAGAAAAGTACAAATTCTGGCTGTTTTCTGGTGTTTTGATTAGACAGTCACCTACACAACTGTTGGGTGGAGTCTCTGGCCTCTCTTAAAGCTATGACTCCAGCACCTGTTAAATGAGACTAGCAAGGGGCAGGATAAGGAGCTAATTTGGCTTCAGCATTCTTCTGCAGCCTCGAGGTTCTGTTAAGCGAGAGCTCCTTTCCCCTCAAATAGTCTATCACTTTGCCAAATTGAGAATTAGTGGAAGAAAGCTAGAAGCCACATAATGTTCAGAAGGGAATAATTACTCTAGTGTGATAGTAATGTTACGATCTTGGTTAACAACTGGTTCCTTTTTAATGCATAAAATTTGTGTTGGTTTTAAAATATTGTGCATTTACTTGTAAGAAGGATTTATGTTTAAATGTTCTCCAGAAGATCAAGTATTCAAAATCACAAGGAATTTTTTTCCTGAAAAAATGGGAACTTTCCATTTAAATTCAGAAGTTCAATTTTTGCATTTAGAGGATACCATTTTCAGTTGCTTTTACAGGTCCTGCATAGGCTCATCACTTGACAAAACTAATAAATATATTGTACTATGAAATCCAAGCAAAAAAGAAAATATTATATACAGAAATGGTATCTGATGCAACTCAAAATACACTTCTCTGTAAAAAAATATACTTTGTGATTGCCATTCAGGTGCCTCATTAAGTTCATACCATTATTGTGCCCTTAAGTGTTCCCTTTTTTAGGTGCTATCGTATACTAAAATACATTTCCATGTTCCTGTTTCCCTGTGTTTTCCAACTTCCCAGTTCGCCAGATCACTGCCTCAGAGTGTGGTGTGCTTTGCTGTGCAAAAATGTAACCTTTAATGAACCTGTATTTACTGGCTAGTTTCTGGTTTGGGGTAAAAAACCAAACCCACAATATAACCTGTTTGTTTTATACAGGGATCGGCTTTTCCTGTCAGTTATGCAAGCAGAATTATACAGAAGCAGTATTTTATTCCGTAAGTATAACAGATCCTCCTTCATTGGCTGCTCCTCCACAGTCCCTAACAAGAAATAAAATTCCAAACTTAACAACTTATTTTATACTCTCGCCATTACTGTATTTCTAGAAGCTCCAACTTGTTGGGAACACGGCTGGCTGGATCCCATGTTGATGCACAGGAGCGTAAGATTAATCCTTTAGTAAGTGTTTTGTAGAATGGTATTTTGTATGTTATCTTAGTAAAAAAGAGGACATGCAGAAAAGCTTGAATTCCTTTCTTGCAGCTCTTAAAGTTCTAATGATGTTAAATTTGTCATAGAGAAAGAAATAATTTAGATTATTGGCATTTGAGATATTTTGGGGTTTTTTGGACAAGGTTTCTGTAGCTCACAATTGCCTCTTATGCCTTCTGTATGCAGCTGTAGTGTGTGTGAGATAGCTTTTCAGGCACGCTCAGTTCAGCACCTGTGGCAGCTTAGCAGCCTTTTGAATAGGTCTTCTGAAACATCTTAGAGGCAGTGTTAGGTCTACACTGCTGACCAGCCTTCCTTCCACGTCTGGTACATGCTGGGTTTACTGTGCTAACTGCCTGGAGGTAACCCTGTGGGAAAATCAGCACTTCTGGACCCATCAAGGCTTTTCAGATGATCAGCCAGCCCAGGCCATCAGAAATTGAGGCTGTAACTGAAATTCATAAACTTATACTTGCACCAACATAAAGGATAAAATACCTGGGGAAACCTACTGTGTTTAAAGTAGTCTAATAACTGGCTTAGCAAAGTGAGAATTCTGGTTGCTGTCCATAATGTTCTAGTTCCTTTCCATACCCAAGCAAACTCTTAGGTATTTCAGGTGTTCTCACACTGCTATTTAAAATACAAATACTGCTGCTCCAGACTTGCTTTGACAATGAGTTTCATTCTTGCCTTTGCTAGTGTTGTCCTGCTTATATTTATCTGGCTTTTTTTTTTTTCTTTCTTGATGAAGACATTTTTACTGAAATAGAGATAGGAGTTAGCTATCTCTTCACATTTTTGCTTTCCCTGATAGGTGTGAGACCTGCCAATCAAGGTAGTACAGTTAGCCTCTGTTAAAACTGATGAACTAAACTGATAAACTAAAATAAGCAGCTAAAGAGGTTGTGGGGTGGTTTTCCTCTTAGACAAATGGGGCACAAAGCCTAAGGAAATACCCAGTATATGCGTTAATTAAGGAGAACATGGAATGGTAACTCTTGTCCTTTCTTTAACAATGCAGGTCTCTATTTCAGATGAGCCGGAAACACTGTACAAGAGATTGTCCCTTTTAGTTAAAGGTCACGATGAAGCTGTGCTGAAAAGCTATGAATATTTTGCAGTGCTTGCCGCTGAAGAACTTGGCATCTCTGTAGAAAAAGTGTAAGTAACTGATCTGTAGAGTAATGTGATGTCAGATGCTTCTTATGCCATCTACTGTAATTCTGTGCTTTGAAGTATTATTTCTTTTTATTTTTTTTTTGGAAGTAATGGGAGCAATCTGACATTTTTCTTCTCAAGATTATATATTTTACACTTCTTAGATGGCAGCACAGTGGTGAGAAAGCAGCAGCAGTTCTACACTCAGCCCTTCCAGGTGGAAATACTTTTTAACTCCATGAAGGATATTGAGAGTGCTCTACAGCTGTCAGTGCTGTAGCTTCCCTGAACTAATGCTGTTAAATACATGAGTGTTAACCGTGCCCATGTGAGTTAATAACAAACTGTACCAGTGTTTCATGCTTCTTGTAGATCTTCTAAATGTCAGATGAGAACAGGGATTTCAGCATAATCTTTCAGTATTACCATCCTTTATATAACATGAAATTTTCTTTTTCTTCTATGTTCAGATATAAACCTCCAAAGACGATAGAACGTTTTACACTTCTCAAATCTGTACACATTTACAAGAAGCACAGAGTTCAGTATGAAATGAGAACACATTACGTGTGTTTGGAGGTAAGAAAGGTGGGGGGGAAAATGTTGTAGATGCACAGTTCAAAGGTGTTACTAGATGTTAGTTCAAGAGTGAAGAAAGATTTTCTGTTTATTTGGGTTGGGGAGGAGAGTGCAGAGGAATGTTGGAAAACATGTGACCTAGGTACATCAAATGTAACACAAGTTATTCTGAATGCACAGCATGGACTAAAAGACTGATTTTGACCATCATCTTAACAGCTGAAAGAATGACTGCAAAATAAGGTAGAATTGAGGGTTATCTCTGTGTGTTATGATCTTGGTTTCCAAAAATCAGTGGGATGGGAACTTTCTCAGGAAGGGAAGAAGATGCGGCTAAATCACTGACGTTGCCAGTTCACTGAGGGTTCTGTCCTTTGTGAGTTTGTTTGATGTTTTTGAAGAGACATACTTTTGCCCTATGCAGCATCATGTGGCAAACTAAAACTGTGTGGAGGAAATACAAGAAAGGAAGTGCAGACAAACCACTAGCTTTGTGGCTGATGACACAGACTTCTGTATGGTTTAGAAGGCAACCATGGTTGACTTTCTTAGAAGAAAGGTTTAGTGCCAACATTTTGTGGCTCCTGGGCATCTTACTGTATATTTGCACAGTGTTAACCAAAATGGGACTTTGTTTATGTCCTCAGACATTAGCAGAGTACAAGTGGCTGCCCACAGACCATAAACACTATTTTTGCCTTCCAGGAGAAACTAGGAAATCAGTAATTCAGTGGAACTCTGAAGTTGCAGGATTTATAACAGGCTTGAACTTTGAGAGTATATGAAAGCTGGTAGTTCTTGCATAACCTGTAATTAATGCCATCTGGTACTTGCAGTGTTAAGATCCACTACTTCCATCATAATCACTGCGTGTGATCCCAGGCAGCATGTGCAGTTCTGTGGAATGAAATAACCACTTTATGCTTGCATGAGTGTTGTGTACAGATCAACTGCTTCTGTCCAATATTATGGAAGCTGCCTTCCTGTGAGATGTTAGGTCCCATAGCAGGAACCAAAGAAACTATGGCCAACTTTTTTTTTTTTAGTCTGAAATATTACTAATAGTAATTATTTCTATTCTAGTTTAAACATCTCACAAGCAGTACAGCTGCAGTTTACTTGGAGTATGTGCAACGAAACTTACCTGAAGGGGTTGCCATGGAGGTAAAAAAGGTAAGTCTCCCCTTCACATTACTAATTGTTATGAGACTAAGTCTTGATGCAAGTACCAATTAACTGCTGAAGCCTTTGGAAAGCCAGCCGAGGAAATGGATGTGATTTGGAAGGAACATTTTCCAACGTCTTGCAGGCTGAGGAGGCTGTATTGCATTGCTTGGAAGTGCCACTAGGTGGCATTTGTAATCTGATTTATATCTTAAACCAGACTAAAGAGCAAAGTAGGTAGATGTTAACCAATCGCTATAATAAATGGTTGCTTTGCTTTCCTTTTAGACTAAGATAGAGAAAATACCTGAACACATCCAGAAACCAGTTTGGGATACACTACCTCAAGTAGAAGAAACTGAAGCCAGGTCATGAATACACCAGGTACTTGGCTCCATCAGTACTGAAATTCATTGCTCCTGTCTACCTAATTTACTGAGACAGTCCACTGTTAAATAAAAGACTTCTTACAAAGGAATTATATGAACTCTTTTCATCAAGTTATGATGATGAGTTATGATATGACTTGCTCATAACTCCAGTACATTTAAACCAAACAGCTATAAAGTGAAGAAGTTTGACTGTACTCTGTGATCAAGAACAGTGGTCATTTATAATACATTTGTAGAAAGGTAACATTTATTTTTACACACACACATATATATGAAAGTGTATATACATATTTTACATGTGCACATTTTAAAAAAAAATCTGTCTCCTGGCTTCTGAATTCTGAAATACTTGCAATCCCCTTTGTATTGGTGTAATGTTTAATATTACAGGTGCTAGATTGTTAACCAATTATGAGTTGGATAAACTAGTTTGTTGGATAAACTATTTCCATTCTTCACTGCTTTTCCTAGTGTTTTACTGCATGCTTCTCCAGCTTTGCTTTCTGCTGCTTTTCTTAGCCAGTACCAACAGCAACACTCCAACCATTGCTTTAGATCTGGTCTCAAGTCATCTTTCTACCTACTATCTCCTCTCATTCTCAATCAGAAAAATTTTAGTTGAATTTTAGAAGACGTTAAAAATAGCATGCTTCATACCATTTATAAACATAGTATTTGAGCATGCTGTATTGTGTTCCCGCAAGTCAGACATCCAAAGCTTAAATGATCCCTGTCTGAAGTGCCCAGTTTTCCATCCATATAGCAAAACTGCCAGGATTCACCAATTTTGTGCCCTGAAACAAAGGCAACATATGCCACATGGGATGTTCTGTACTCACAGCAGAGCATT